CAGAAAAGTACTGGCATCAAAATATCCTTAAAGTACCAAAAGTAAAAGTATTCATTGTGCAGATTGGTCCATTTCAGAACAATATATATGATATGTTTTATAATGATTGATCATTAAAGTGTTATCACAGCTGGTAAAGGTGCAGCTAGTTTGAATGACTTTGTATCGCTGCTGCGGCCCCTAAACCGTAGAACACTCTGGCCCTCCACATTAAACAGGCTTCTACACTGTCAGTTTTTAAATCTCGTCTTAAAACCCACCTCTTCCCCTTAGCATTCTGTACTTTGTAGATTGTTGCTTTTAAATGGAATATTGTTTTTATTATATGGATTCTTGTTTATTTTGTGTTCTTACCTGTATTTGTTTTTGTTTTGTGAGCTGCGCTTTGTGATTTTGCATTTCTCTTTACAGCACTTTGGTCTGGAGGTCTTAAAGTGCTATATAAATAAAGTAGGATTAGATTGGGTAGCTGGTGAATTTACTCCAGGTGGAACTAAAGTCTGATTTAAGACTTGATTATATTTCACATTATTAATGCAAATGTGTAAAGTAACTAAAGGTATTAAATACATGTAGTGGAGTAAAAGTACACGATATACCTCTGAATTATAGTGTAGTAGAAGTAGCAAAAAATTGAAATACTCAAGTTAAGTAAGTACCTCAGAATTAGAGTAAATGTACTTAGTTACTTTACAGCACTGCTTTAACTTGATTCTGTTATAGACAGCAGTGCAACCAAAAGTGTAGAATGGAGCTTGAAGCTGGCTTTAAAGGTGAACTCAAAGGAACAATCAATGGAATGAATAATAAGTGTATCTAATGTGTTGTGCAATGTTTTGTGACTGCTTTAACAGAAGTTCTTCAGAGCAGCGCACCATGTCCAGCAGCTGGACACTCAGCTGGCCCGCCGTGTCCTCGCTGCGCTCTGCCCGCTGTTTCTGAGCTCGCGTGGTGCGTTTCAGAGCCTCTCGATCTGCACCGGCCTGCCGCCTCAGCCCCCCCAGCTGCTCCGTCAGACGCTCCATCTCCACCTTCTGCTGGCTAGCTGCTCGCTCCAGGTTCTGAACCAATGGAAAATAATTAAACCTACAATTAAACTACAAACAAGACCTCAAACATAACTTGCCAGCTCAATCATTTTAATAGTGATGGCTCATGCCAGGACAGACCTTTATCTGCACAGTCAGCCTATTGTTCTCAGCCTCTTTGCTCCGTAGCTGTCCTTGTAAATGAGCTCTGGTTGAATCCAGACTCTTGGACAAATCAGATGAGCTCTTGGCATTGTCCTGCACCCCCATAACACAGTAGAATGTACATTAGGGAAAACTGGTCTTCTGCTTTGGTCTAGAAGCTGTTAGAAAACCCTGAAATGCCTCGGTGAGATATTGCTCTGTACACGGTACCTTCTCACTGTCCAGAAGTCTGCAGAGTTGATTCGCTTCTCTGTCCTTCTCTTGAAGTTTTACCACAAGCTGCTGTAAGGTAAAGCAAGGCAAACTTTATTTATAAAGCACATTTTACATACAGGGAAAAAGTTCAATGTAGGTAACACAGAGATACAACAAATGATGTCTACATATATGCCAAAATATATGATAGAAGCCTGCCTAATGCAAGGCTAATTCCAATGAAATGAGTAGATTCACTGGGCTTCTCCCACACTCACAGCGTTGTGTGCCTCTGTGTCGGTCAGTCTCTTCAGAAATGCGTCTTTTTGCTCCGACACTCGCTCTGACTCCATCTGCTCACACATGGAAATCACTCTGCTTTAGAAACACTTGCTGTAAACTGCAGCTGAAAGTCACATTAGACACATATTCATGCACCTGAAGTAGACAATATGACAACATTATCTTGATATGTATTTGTATGCATTAGTCAACTGTCAGAAGCATTTATCTACCACATGGAAACTATTCAGTTAACATCTCTGGCTGTATTGTATAAAGTTCATTTAGGCCTTGTTACTAATTGAAGTGAATATAACTGCACCTTCCTTGTTGTTCGGAGTTTGAATCTCTATGGTCTTTGCACTTATTGTAAGTCACTTTGGATATAAGCCTCAGCCAAATGTAATGTAACATGATGTAATGTATTGTAGTCAATGTGCTTTAATATTTATAGAAATATTTGATGAAATCCAATGTTGCTTTTTTATATTCATATTTTTTATATTATAAGAGTCTGGTTTGAATTTCCCTTCAGGCTGCTGTTCCTCGAGATACAGTGTTGAACATAGAAATGGAATAGTAAATACATCATGAGCATCACAGAACTAATGAATGTGTTTCCTGTGCATCCGTCATGGGACTCCCTGTGATCAGCAGAAGATCAGAGACTGTTCTGCAGAAATGTCCCCCCCCCATACCTGGGCCCTGTGCTGCTCTCTGAGGAGGAGTCGCAGAGTTCTGTTTGTGGACTCAAAGGTGTCCAGCTTCTGTAGCAGCAGCTCCTTCTGCTGGGCCAGGCCTGCAGCCTCTGAGCCGGACAGCCTCTGCAGCACACAGGAGGGAACTCTTCTGACACCATGCAACATAGGATATAACTAAAACATTCTGAGGAATGTTGTCTGTGTGACTGAAACTTGGCTGAGTGTCCCGATGCTAACATTCCCCCCGCTGAGTAACTATTAATAGCATTAGTTGTATTGTTAAGGTACAACAAAGAATATCCATAAACGTTAGCTCACTTTTAGCTGAGTATTTGAACTGTTTATCTATTCGTTTCTGAACATCTTTAGATTACCACTGGATTTAGTTAACGACCGACAGGTGTGTTTTTTTCGCAGCTCCTCTCCCCTCTAGTCGTGATGTCACCCACTCTAAGTCTTAACCAGCTCTCCCATTAATTCCTATGGGGCAAATGATCGCAGTTTTCTGCGATTTGCATGAAAACGGCAAGGCGAATCTCTTATAAAAGACCAAGCAACCCAATCCCGGTCATTCCGCGCGTTTTGATGTGTTTTTTGTGTGTTTTGTGTCAACGATGCCGGACGAGTAGCGTGACAACATTTATGGCGGAAGAAGGAGAATAAGATGAGACTAGAAAATGCATTTCCTGCTGAAAATGCGTGTGAAATCACTGTGAATGCTGTAAACTGTGAACATTTGTTGCTGAATTTAGCTGAAAATGTAGAAAAAGCTGAATATATTAGTTGAATGGTCTCTGGAGCTGCTTTTAGCTACAGAGACCAAGTCAGTGTGTTGCTGAACTGAGCGGAGAAATTCAGAAAAGTGAAATGATTTGAATCAAATTGTTACAGCTCAAATGCATTGCAATGACTTTGTTGAAAACTTGAAAGTGAAATGTTAAACTGGAAGAGTAGGAAAAATATAGAAGAAGCTCAATATTTAAAAGAAAAGGTTTAAAAAAGGTATAAACAACAACCTGTATAGCCTTGATGTCCTGAAATAGCTGAATAATGTAATAGTTGAATGGTTTCTGCAGCTGAAAATAGGCTGAAGGAGTTAAATATCAGATGTAAGTAGTAGTGAATTAATTTGTATTAAAAAGAGAAAAGAAAGTAAAAAGGCTTGGGAAAGCAGCAGAATATTTTGACTGCAAACCTTTCGACTAAAACCAATGTCACCAATAATGTGTAAAATATGTGGAACATGTTGAAGTCAGTATGAAGTCTCCATCAGACAGAAAAGAATAGGCTGAGACAGTCTGTTAAAGTCCAGTGTGTTTGTCAGTGTTTGTTTCTGTACTGAGCACCTACTCATAACACCTGTGTGAGCCCAGAGATCAAAGGTTTCCATGGTGATGTGCAGTAATCAGTGAGAGGAGAGCCTTTCCATTGGTCTGAATGAGAGATAAACCTCTTTCATTTAAACGTTTTGTTGAAGAACCGTAGCAGATATCTGTGAAATTTCAACACGTGAAGCGTCTCAGGACCCTGACGAGCGTCTGAAGTGTACTTTTTGTACTTTTGGGTCAATAATGTGGCCTTTTTGGCAGATTAACTAAAGGTGTGCGGCTGCTGCTGTGAAGAAAGAGCAGGCTGTATTAACAATAGGCCTTAATGGAGACATGTTGAAAGTTTTTGTCACTTCATGCTAGGGCTGTGCGATTATGGCAAAAATAATAATCACGATTATTTGGGTCAATAATTGATATCACGATTATTTTG